CTGACAAAAATATCTTGATAATAACAAATTACAACAAAAAATGAAGGAGACTTTCACCTGAATTACGACAAAAACCACAGAGGCAGATATGTTTACTCACAGAAAACAAAAGAGTAATTACTTTGGGCCAGACTTCTCCCCAGCTCTCTGGTGAGACTCTTAATGAAGACACCAGTGGACATCAATGATACTATATGGTCTTCACTCAGGGGAAGCTCTTACTGACTTGAATAAGATGAGCAGAAACAGGGATAAGCTGAAAAGTGCACCAAAATCTTCAAACATTTGTGCACAAGTTTAGGCCATATGGGAAAAGAAAATAAGAAGTGAAAAATTGCTGAGCACAAAACCTTTGTTTTGTCCTTACCTGATCCTGAGAAATTGTCTAAAGACCCGTCTGTGGTAGTAGTAGTAGCAATTTCGCTGCTGCTCATTGGTTCTGTTTTAACTATAGAAATATAAATAAAATATATTCTGTATGCACCTAGTACTCTTGCACACACATGCACACATGCTCACAGTCACAAATTCAATAAAACAAACATCTGCTAAAAATGTGTAAATCACGGCTAGCGACATTTTGCATTTTATGTTCTTGTGTGTACAGCCAATGCAAAATACTGGCAGCTATGATTTACACATATATATAAAATGATCAAGAGGGTTATTTCTGTCCCCAAGGAATAAAAGCCACTGTAACAAACGAGAAGCCCCCATGCAACTCTCTGCACCTGTCCTAACTCCTCTTAAGCCTCCGGACCCAGCAAGAAGAAGCTACATTTAGATCAGGTCAAAGAGGTATTTGAAAGCTTGAAATATAATGATTTAGGATTTAAAAAGAAAAAAAAGAAATATTTTTAAATGGTTTTGTCAGAGCTCTAGTCAAAATGTTCCAATCCAAGTTAATATGTACATGAAAAATGAAAATTTCAAATGAAATAGAAGGAAAAGAAACTTTCATCACAGAAGATTTCTCAAAATACAAAGGTAACACCATATTCAGCAGCACTGAATAAAGAAAGATATTTTACTATAAAAGTGCTTTTACATTTTATTTTCTTTCCAGCAGAAATGCAACACAGCTGTCAGAGACTAAAAAGGGATGAGAGTAAGAGAGATTCACTCCTGGCTCATGCAATATCCTAATTAATTGTTGATTATTGACTTTTACTGAAGCCTCATTTCAGTTAACAAATTTCACTTTCTGTGGCTTCAGAGTAATGTCAGTGCCCCAGTCTTCAAAGATAGGGATGATCCGTTGTGGATTCGCAGAGGAGCAGTGCCTCTTCCCAGCGGGCTGCTGGAGCGGCACGGCCATGTGTCAGCTCCGTTTTCACACACGCAGCTTTTGGAGTCACAGCACACACAAAGCGAGGCTGAGGATGGCGTTTCACCAAGCAACTGAGCTGATTTTACGATCTGCATCCCGAGAAGGATCTTGTTGACTTGGAGTCGCTGCTTCCTACACACCGGAGTCGGTGCATATCTGACCTTTCAGCAGGGCAGTTCAGTTCAATAAGATGTCAGAAAATTAATCCAGAAAAAATAAGGTGAACTACATCCTATTTGACACCCAAAGCCTTAGTGTCACCTTAACGCTAAGTGTGTGTGTGTGCCTGTCTGTGTAAGAATATATATAGAGAGGAATATATTTAGGAGTTGCAAACATCATTAACACAGACCTTTTTTCAAAGGGTGAAGGAGGGAAACTTTTCCCTTTTGATGAAGGACCTATCTCTTCTTTGCCAATACAAATTCTTATTTCCTCATCTCACTATTTCTTTCATCTGACCTCATCCAAGAGATCTGCATGCAGCCTCTCCAGATTTTACTTAGCACCCACTATTTCCAGTGATTCTCACACAGGAGGCTTTGTCTGCACTRGCAAGCTCAGATCAGTAGCAGCTCCCCAGAGAACTCAGAAGGAAGTAGAGAYCAATGGGGAGAGCTTTGTAGAGAGAAACAGCAGAGGGTCCAGCAGCCWTAGCTGGGTGTTTTAGGAGGGGTTGCTTCACACAAGGTCTAGCCTCGTCCCAAGGRCCACGTCCCAAGCCCACAACAGCTGGAGCACATTGGCTACATCCCTGGCCAGGACGTTGCCTTCAAGGCAGCACGCTCTGAACTACAACTCTGATCCAAACCTATTGCTTGCCAACACAAGGATGTCACAAGACAGCCATTTCACTACTAAATATGCAAAGTCTAATACATAGATGCAAATATATATATTTATTTCAAATGTCCAGTCCAAGTCATTTTCAGGAAATTACAAGATTTTTACAGATGTTCTACATAAAATCTAGAGATTTGGAGTTACACCTACATTATCTTCTGCTTTTTCTTAAAAGTTTTCGCATTTTGCAATGAGGCTCTAAATCACTCCAGCTTCAAAAATTACTCCAGCTTTCCTGAAACTTTGCAAGTCTTGCTAGCCTAACTTCYTTAATGCAATTACACCTTTGGGAATAGTAAGAAAGAATGTTTTTCTATATAGCTGACAACTGACAGAGGGGAAAGGAAAGGAAGAGAWGAAAGATCAACCCAATTGTGGGTAAAGGTTCACAGGAAGGAAGATTTCAGCATGTGCCTTCTCCCAGCTCTTTCCTTGTTCTGTCTTCAGGAGATGGTTCTTTTATTCCTTCTAAAATAAAAAACTATTCGTTTGCATCACCATAACTTGCGGCCTTAGGACTAGGCTAATTTTCCCACAGTACAGAGACCTACAGTAATACAGAACCATCTGCCCCTAATCTGGATCTCCAACCCCTTTGTTAAAGATATGAGTTGGGGAACAATCTAATCAAATGGAAGGACTCATGAGCAGTATGTTAATATAAGGATGCCTAGAACTGAATCTGTTTACTTCRCATGCTGCTGCTTAGGATATAGGAAAAACAGATGAAAAGCACTGCAGTGTCTTCTTTGTGGAAATCAATTTTATTTGCTGATTGATCTACTCACAAAATTTTTGATAACATCTGCCTCATATTCAACTCTCAACTCTTGAATGTATGAAAAAGAGGATACGAAAGGCTGCCCGTGTTGTTCCTGATTTGGATACACCTTAGTAAGGTCAGAATAAACAAGCCCTATCATTCCTTCTTTAGAAATGACCACGACCTTAACAGACCTTTGTTCTGCAGCTAGTTGAGAATTTAATAAAGATGGATAGAGACTGCAAAACCCTCCATTCCCCAAGCACTTTAATCAAAATGCCAGAAAACAACTGTGTATTTCCTTCTGCCTGCAGCCTAAAAACATTTCAAAAGGATGAAAGCTTGCTGTACAAAGGGGCGAAATAAGAAGAAACAGTGGTGGTTTTCCCCACCAGAAAAGCTCTACCACGTGGATTCTCACTGCAGAGGGAGATCTCTCATTCACCCTAGACAAAAACTGGCSTCCAACACAGCAGATTTTCCCCCAGAATGATGGGGAAAGAGAGCTGTGAAAGGAGCTGCTACTGTGGCAAGTCTTCAGTAATCTGCATCTGTCACATGAAAATATGGAGCTGTCCATGCAAGCAACGTTTTGGAAGGTCCTGGATTATGTTGTGAGCCGCAACCTCCCTTTTTCCGTGTTATGTCTCTTCCCCAGAGCCTASTAACACATTCATTCCGTAAACGTGCTCCGGATGGTGGCTTGGTCTCTTTTTCCAGTGCAATCATATTCCTGCAACCCGTTCTAATCTTTCACAGTTGGACACTAGGAAATCTGTGCCACTTATAACCAGAACACTTTGCAAGTTTCCCAGGAATTTCCAAGAGCATGCACAATTCTGGCACATGCCAAAGAAAGCAAAGCAGAAGAGTTCCCATTTCTGCTCTTCCATTACCAGTGTGGAACTTARCAAGACATTATTAGGCTCACGTTAGAGCCTAATAAACTTAGATGCTGCTAAGTTTTGATGCTAGCAAAATGACTCTGTAAGAAAATAGAGTATTAGCAAGAATTTCAAGAAGAAATTGGATGGACTCCTCATCTGCTGCAAAAACATTTATCAAGAAATACTAATTTAGATTTGGTTTAGAGAGTTAAATATCTGTGCCAATGGAGAGATACTTTTCCCTATTATTTTTTCTCTTCCTATTTATTGATGAGGTTTTAAAAATAAGAATTAAAAAGAGACTGTATAAAAAAATGACACAATAGAATAACAGGGAAAAAAACAGGACCAGCAGACAATCAATCTATAAAATACATGGAAAATGAAGCACAAAAATTCCGAGATAGCATAACTGCTGATCAAGCTCTAAATTGATTCTCAAAATGCTTCATCTTAAGACACTTGTAGAGCGTAAGCGCCGTGTGCCTTGTTTTGTCAGCGAGATTGCAGGGGCTTGTTAGTGCTGAATTACAAATCAGTTTCTGAACTCCACTAGGAGAGAGTGCCTGATATCAGAAGCCACAAACWCCTGTGGTTGTGTGATATAAATAATGCAGCAAAATGAAATCAGTTCTGGCTGGCAGCTCTCAATATGCATGGGGCACAAAGGTCTCAACAAAATAAATGAAGCAGGTTATTCATAGACRTGTGTCTAAATACAGATCTTTGGCCCTAATTTGTTTTGTCTCAAGGTGATATATTATGTGAGAAAAATTGCTTTAGTTTAATTGAACTAAATATCAAAAGTTTTGAACAGTTTTAATACACTCCTAGGATATTATTCCTCTGTTGTTCACATTCAATGAAAAAAAAAAGATAAGCGCTGATACGTCATTACACAGTTAAACAGCATCATTAAAGCAACATAAAACATATCCACTTTATATTCCTCACTTTGATTCCTTTGATGTTACAAAGTCTTTTTTTTCCTAACAAAAAAAATACCATTCTTAGATAGGTTGATCTATTTTTATATTCTAAATCATTCTAAATCATATTCTATTTTTATATTCTAAATCATGCATTTGCAAGTTAGATTTTAAAAGACTCTAAAATTTGGCATTTCCTCCAGTTTGCAGAGTTTATCAATTAATCATGGCTCCACCTTATTTTCGGTTTCATCTGATAACATCTTTAGTATCTCCCTCACTTCCTCGCTCTTTCCTGGTGCTGGCATTAAGCAAATGCAGAATTTAAACCTATCGCTGTTTAAAAATCAGAAGACAAATTCCCAATCTTCAAACCACATTAGTAACTACACAGTATGTTAATACAGCCTTTCGGCTTTTCACAGCCTCGGTATATCTTGATCAAATATTTCATGTGTTGATTACTAATCATACACTATTTTGCTTAATACTACGCCCTTTTGGTACCCAACAGAAGCCCAAAGCTCACATGAAAGCTCAAAGATGAATCACTGGTCACTAAAAAAGGCACAAAAATTTTGATTTCTAAGCAGATGAGGCTTTCAAATATTTTGTTCAAACTGGAAATTTGAACTCTTTCAATACTTTAATAACTATTTSCTATAATATTATACTAACTGCTATTGAGGGTATCAT